TCATATTCACTTAGAACGTGGACTTTCGATAAAGAAAGTTCTGAAGATTTCAAAATTTTCTACAATATGAACATCAAACATTTTGGGCTACAACTAATATGACAAAAAACTTTTTCTTTCAGTCAAATCTTTGGATTTAAACAATTCAAAGATTTGAAACTTCGATTATAAATTTGTCTCAATAAAACTTTTCTTTATAAAAAGTTTCAAATCGAAATTTTACGAGTCGACTTTTCAAGTGAATCTGAGAAGGACTAACGTTTCGTACTTCAAAAAAAATCATAAAAATTAAATATCTCGGCAGAAAAAAACATTTTTCAAGAGATTCAAAGTTCATTAGGATCTACATGATGTACTTGATCTGGGCTCGAAAGCATATCGACAACGGTGAACACTGTTTCAACAGTATTAACAAAATTGAGTTGGTATTTTATTTATTTTAAACGACTTTTGAATATCTGTCAACACAGGTACTATTATTAGATGTTGACTGAATCATAACTTTTTGTTTATATCCAAAACCTAAAGTAAAATAACACTTTCATGTTATTCTTAGTAGAAGCATAGTCATATAACATTAATAAGTATGCCCTCCAAAAAAACGATCAATTATGATTGTCAATTCTTTTAATTTTAAGTATCTAGTGCAATCAGTCATAAATACGAGTTCAAAATTACATTCTAATATGAAATGTTCTTTTACATTATGGAAACAGCTTTTTCGTATAGAGAATCTAAAGAACTTTTTTTTCAGATTCTACTGTAACAAGAGCACCGAAGTGATTTCCATAGGATCTTTTCAATTAAGAAACGTACTTTTCAATAGACTGTCCTCTCTTATTAGGAGTTTTTCAAGATTCTTTTCACTCAAAACTATCACATCGCTATGATAATGGAAACAAAATATTATCCATAGTGTACATTGATATTGTGATGGACATAAATACTAAAAAAAAATATATCAATAGGCTGCAGAAGTGACTTTTGAAAAAAAAATCAATTCTCAGAGACGATCTTCTGCTTCATTTATCCAATAATTTTCAATTCATATAACAAGTATTGTTCTTCTCTTTCAATAAAATTCGAATGTCTATCGACAGACATAGTACATATTGTTTTCATCAAAAAGCAATATTTTTTACATAAATTATAACTACTTTAACAATAAGTGTTTCTCTTAAAACATGCAAAAAAAACGGAAATTCTTAAATATCTAATTTGATTTCTTATTTTTCTCATTTGTAATATTTTATCATTTCTTAACTATAAAATACTTATACACAATTATTTAGTTGAACACTAATTTGATAAAAGTAAGTCGCGTTATAAAGTATATGATGTAAAAAAAAACAAAGTTTAAATTTAGTTCGAAATTTTAGTGCATTATTTTATACATAATTTTATTGTTCAATATCAATAAATTGATCTTCGCCATCATTCTCATCCTCATCATCATCCGTATAATGTATTGATTGAGATGTATTTTCATCATCATCTGATGTACATGAAGATGAGACCGTTAAAGTACTTCTTTGTTTTTCATTTTCAATTCTTTGTAATTCTGCATAAGATGGTATTGAATTTTTTTTAGGACGACCTTTTGGTTTTGTTGGTGCTTCTTTACATCCTTGTTGTAATACCTGAAAAACAAATAAGATCATATATAAATATATAGTAATGTTTACATGAGAGTTAAAGATCTGTGGATGTAAACTCAATAACCTGACAATGGCAACAGTTATTAATCTATCGTTTACAAAAAGAAAAACAAAACAAAACGCCAAACATCTTTTGGTCAGATAGTCTACAGGAAAAAGTTATTTTAAAACCTATCATCTTCGTAAAATATTCAAAAACAAAATGTATAAAAACAGTGCTGTTTTTCAAGAAAATTTCGATTTAGACGTGTGCTTAAGGTAGAAAGACTTCAGATCCACAGTTCAAGATACAACTCATGTGATTATCTTTTCTTATGTCAATGTTAAGCAAACAAAATTACTTATCTATTCAGTCAAATTCTCTAGAATTTTATGACTTTTTAGTCAGTTTTGCTGACTTTTTATCAATATTTTTTTTGAAATGGAATATCTGTTGCTGCTGTCAAGTTATTGAACTTACATCCTTTCTCTTTAATTCTGGCGCAGACATCAGATATGGCCAAGGTGGTTCAAGTCTCGACGAGACTCAATTGTAATAATTTTCGTAATAAAATGAATCATTTTTCTCATCAACAACAACAGAATTGTCGAATAAATAAACACTTAGAATAAACGAAGTGTTAGTGAATTAAAAAAATCATGAACATCCAAAAGCGAGGATATTTGAGGTCATGCGGATCGAGTCAGATATTTTCACCTTATTCACACTACTAGAAAATCCTATCGCAATGCTCACTAGTACATCTATTACTAAGCACGAAAGCAGAACTACAGATTTTTTCTGACTTGTATTGGAACTAAAAACGATTGATCACACTCATTACTAATATATATATACATACTTGCTTTTTCCATTTCATTCGACGATTTTGATACCTAAAAATTAAAAAAAAGTGATTATCATTTTAATATAAATAATCATAATAAATATTTTCTAAATACCAAGTTTTAACTTGTAATTGAGAAAGATGTAACATATCAGCAAGTTCAATACGATCTGGTGTTGATAGATATTTTTGTGTTTCAAAACGTTTTTCAAGACCAAGTAATTGAGCATCTTTAGAGAAAGAAGAAGAAAAAAAAACCAATAAGATTTTTCTATTTTGATGTTTAATTATTACCAGAAAAAACTGTTCGTGTTCGTCGACAACGTCGATGATGAATAAATGTATCCAAATTAGGAAATGTTGAATTTAATTGTAATGTTGATAAATGACAATTATGTAAATTTGAACTACAATGCGTTGATCGATGTTCTATGAAAAATTCATAAGAAAAAGTTTATTTGCTTAAAAAGGTTTTTTTTCTTCTTCTAAATCTCTTACCAGAACATGAATATTTATTTGATGTTGAAAATGAAAGATAAGATGTTGGTATTAATGATGGAAGTTGATAAGATCGTTGTATAAATGTTGGATAAATTGATGTTTTTGATTTTTCATATTTGAGAATATCATCAATTGAAAATGGTAATGGTTTATCAGTAAAAGTCATTTTCTATATTATACAAAACAAATTCAATCTCAAACTATTTCTTATTATATACGAGTAAGAACCAATGAGAGTATAACAATGATCGTTTGCATATCCTGCTGAGTAAAACACAGTTAGCGAAAAAAAGAGAAAGAGAGATATCTCATTATTTTTTTGAGAATCATCGTTGTTGGATATTATGAATGATAACGATTGGATGAATGTTAGAAGAGAAGAGAGATATTATTTTTAGAACGTATGCATGCTTATGCTTAAATATAAACATCAACCAGTAGTATACAATTGATTGTTATCATTCTGTACATATAATGATAGATTAAGACAATATACCTGGTTATATAGTCGAGATGACAGTTCTTTTATTTAAAGGTTAACTAAATACCAACAAGTTCCAAATTGTTCTTTCGATAGTAGTGTCTGATCGAAAGACGACACACGGAGATAAGAGAGCGTAATTGCATGTGTGAATATCATATATTGATAGCAAACATATTGTATAGACTACATATTAAAAACTAAGCGAAGAAATCTTCAATTGTAACAGTAATTAATTACTTATTCATGAAGAAAAATATTTGCAAATTAGTTTTTCTGAATAAGCAAACAATAATATCAAAAAGTTTTAAAGACTTATTTTTCGAAGATTTTAACATTAAATAAAAGAGAATTTTTTTTTTAAAATTCACTTGTAAAGAAACATTGATCTCATTGAAATGTTAACTTCTTCTTACAAATCTATTTGGCTTTGTTAAATAAAGCACATGATGCTTCAAGATTGAATACTTTAAACAAATGCTTAAACATGTAACTAATGGAGGGAACGAGATAAAAGAGTGACGTTACATCCCCCTTTGGTTTTGAAACTTGTTTATGCTATTATATAGTTATAATATATTTTATACTATCAATATTCTAAGTAATTAAATGAATCCTCATAGATTACAAAAAGAAAACAAAAAAAGTAAATTTTATGTTTGTCTTTATAACATATGAAAAAATGATGAAATTCTTTCTTGCTGTGTGTAAACTGTAATCAACTATCATCATTATCAATATGCAAGTGATTAAAAATTGAAGTATGATGTTATATGTTATTGTTTGATTATGATCCAATTGTCAATATTTTTATAAGCTATGCATCGTACGTCACCTTCGACAATCTATTATCATTCATCATTTCTGTCTCAGCTTGCTGGGTGATTTGATTATTTTTTGATTATGTTGTCTCATCGACATAATATCATCCAATAGTAATCATAGAATCAATGATAACATTCGATGCATATCCTATCCAATAAAAATAGCAAGAATATCAACAATAATTAATTGAGACAAAAAAAGAAGAAAGAAAAAAGAAAAGAAAGGAAGAGCTTTTCTATTTTCTTAATGAAATAGACAGCTGCCCAATGTCGTTCAATTAATGATCGGAAGTAGCTGTTGGTCACAAAGGATTAATTGAGGGCGGACTACCATCGTATAATAACATACGAGAGAAAAATCACTAGGGACTCGTTTCAGTTAATTTCTTTCTTGCATTCATACATAAGAACGTTATTGATATGAGAATCTAAATTGTAAATAAACATTGGACAAGTTAAACAATGAAAAGGTTTCATAATGAAAAAAAAGAATAAGTTGATTAAAAAATAAAAAAAAATGGAATTGAAGAAGTAAAAACAACGTAAATCATATTTGGCTTATGGCAACTGCTTTTGCTATTTTTCTATTGTCAATAAATAAAAATATATTTGGTTGGTACATAAAAAAGAAAATTCAATCAATTCTTATTTGAAATATTGAAATAAGAATTTTCATTAAAGAACTATAAAAGTAAAAACGAACATCATCATGATAAGAAAAGCAAAGCCAATGCGTCCAGTTCATCAAATCAATTTATCATTACCAATTGTTCAAACTAATGCATATGAAATTTATTATACAATACCTCCATCGCATGCTCAAAAATCACCAACGGTACGTTCAATAACACGTCAAAAACCGTCTAGTGATAATAATACTACTATTACGAATATTAGTAACAACAACAACAACAACAACAACAATAATAATAATAATAATAAGTCGAATAATCAGACAACAAGAATTCAATCTTCAAGTCGTCTTAAACATCTTACTGATCCGGTACTAGTTAGTTTAATTGTTGAAATGCCTCCAATACCTACAGATTCAACATCGACAATAGCTGATGCTATATCACATGCATTGATTAATTCTGGTTATTCTGGACAAACATTACGTGCTTTACCAACCATAGCAAAACAAAATAAATCTTCAAATACGAAAAATGATGATGCACGATCTCAAACATCATCTGGTGATAGAATTTTATATGAATCAGTTGTATCATTTGAAAAAGTTCGTATAAATAAAACTAAAAAAAATCCTCGTCCAAGTGTTCATTATCCTAAATTTACAACAGTTAAAGTTTTACAAACACGAAGAACAGCAAAACGTATATTTGATTCTAATAATATGCATTTAAAATTACCAAATGTAACCTCATTAGAAAATCTCTTACACCAATCACTTATATCATCTCGTCAACGTCTTCATGAACAAGTTGAACAATTAACAAAAAGTTATTTTCCAACAATACAACAACTTCGTCGTGGTCATCCATGTTCTGAATTAAAGAATAATCGAATGCATTTACATCGTGAAGAAAAACGAAATTTTGCTCCTATGCTTTCTCATTCACGTGTAGTTCGATAAAAAAAAAACAGATATTATATTTTTCTTTTACTATGTTCATATGACATTTGTACATAGAACGTATAATAGAAATATTCTTTTATGAATGCCAACATTTATCTCAACTCATCTTAATAAATTTTAATGATGCCAGTTTGTTTTCTATTTAAAAAGAAATGATAATATACCAATAATGTTAAAATAACTGTCATGTTTCTATCACAAAGGAGAGATAAATAAAAAGATACAGTAAAATGTGTCTATATTGTATAAAACACTAATGAAGACTGCTAAAATAAATGTTCACTAGATGGAAATGTTCAGTTTAGAGGTTTGATGCATGGTTTGTTGTGAAACGAAGAGAAATTTCCAGAAGATCTGCATCTACGATTTCAACACATTGTGTAATTTCTGTTTTTGTATTGTAATACCGTTATTTTCTTTATACATACCATAGTAGATTCATAGATAAAGTGAACTTAGATGATGTGGATGCAAGACAGGTGATAGGCAGGAGAGAGAGGTCAAAAAAAAGCATTGCACGTGTGTTCACATAAGAAAGGTTATAATAGCAAGAGAGACCGCAAAAAAAAATGTTTACATTATAGCGAAGAATCGATTCATCAGACCCGAGGCCGTTCTTTATTAAGAGTTGGTCACTAGTACAGATTTTTATTATGTTTCCATTCTGTTTTCCTAAGTGTCAATATTAGAATAGACTTTCAAATATCAGTTGTCAACCAAAAATACATATTGCTAGATATTCAAAACTAATTAATTTTTGTATTGGTTTATGGATATATCAAATGATTAGATGACTATATAGTCAAAAAAAAATGGTTCCTTTAGGAAATCAACCTCATGCATACTTTCTAGTAAAAAAGCAAGAATCAATTAAGAAAGTTGAAACACTCGGAAGTGTTTATGGTTTTTTTTTTATGACAATTCTTTGGAATTCAAGTTATTTGTTGTGGGACCTTCGATTTCAATATGTGAAAATTGAGGAATTTAGTTGAACGTGCTCCTCCGAAATAATTCTATTCAACAAACGATTAAAATAAAGAAGCAGTATCCTTGAGAAAAGTTCGATTTGTTAGAAAGAAGCTGTATTTAAGTATCAGTTTCAAAAAGAAGTTTTTCAAAAAAAAAAAAAAAAAAAACAAAAGAATAAATAATAAGGTGAGATTGTGTATTTTGTGCTCATAAACACATAAATAACAAAAATGGAAGAAGAAAAAAAATATACACAGAACACCAGTGAATCACAAACAATTTCATCTATGATAAAATACAACATGTAACGAATATTTGAAAGACAATATGTCGCTTTAGAGAGAAATTAAAAAAGATATTTTTCAAGAAGCTAAAAATGGATGTCCTAATAAATCTTTTGCCGATGGTCTCACTACTGGATCACGTGTTAAACATAAACGAAAAAATTCTTGAGCTGTTGCTGGACAAGTATCAGGTAAATCAGCTGGTGGTTTTGTACCATTAGCTAAACAATAATAAAAGTTAATTTGTCAAATTTAATTAAATTAAATATTACCAATAATTAATAGAACAGCTAAATGATTATGTTCCGATGACCATGGTGGTTTTCCTGTTGCCATTTCACATAAAGTACATCCTATTGACCAAATATCGGCTTTTTTACCATGTCCAGTTTCTGCTATTACTTCGGGTGCCATCCAATTAGCTGTACCTATAAGTAAATTGATTTTTGAAATGTTAATAAAATAAAATTTTTTCTGTTAAACCTTTCATTGATTTAAGTATTTGTCTCATTGAATGTGTATTTTGATTTTTCTTTAATCGTTTTGCACAACCAAAATCAATTAATTTTATATTACCATCAACATCAAGCATAACATTTTTTCCTTTTATATCTCTATGTAAAGAAAATAAATAAATAATTAAATGACAAAGAAAAAATTTTTGAATTTCAACCGATGAACAACACCATTTTCATGAAGATAAGCAACACCTTCGACAATTTGTCGAGTATATTTTTTTAAAACATCATTATGAAATGGACCGAAAGCTGTTAATAAATTTTCAATCGTACCATTTGGAAGATATTCCTAAAGAAAAAAAAAAAAATTATTTATACTATACGATCATTAAAATGTTTCTTTTTTTTTGTTTACCATAAAAATTTTTATCAAACGTGTATTTTCCAATGAGATACCGAGAAATCTAAATTTTATATTATTTGAACTTCGTTCTATTTATATTTTTATTTCTTACTTAACAACATATGGATGATTAAGTGCTCGAAGTATATGAATTTCTTCACGTACTGATTCATAATCATTACGTACACGTTCACTATCACCTTCATCAAGTTCGATTTCTTTAACAGCAATCATTCTTCCAGTTACTGTCAAATATGACCAAACAATACCATAAGCCTATAGATGTATAAAGTTTTTTTAAACAAATACTTGTTCTACTACACTAGATATTATAGGTACGTACAACGTTGGATTTTTTTCATTGTCTATCTCTCTCGAAACAGATATAAAATTTTTAGTCATCATCGAATCTATTTATTTCACTTTGTTTTTAAATAACATGAATATTTTCTTATTTGTTTTTTTTTTATATTAAATTTATACTCATTCGTGTTGCTCTTCAATTCATCTCTACTTTCGTTTACATATCAAAAATATTTTATTCAATTTAATTGTGAATAAATCAGCTTTTGTTTTTTTACTAACGATTGATTCATTTACTATTGCATCATTTCATTTGATTTGCTTTAACCCTTGGAGTACCGGCCTCTTTTAACCGTGATTTTGATGACATGTGTTCTTTTTTAATAATCCTTTTACTTTTCAGCCAATATTTTCGTAAGATCTGACCTTTTCTTGTTTTATTCTATAGAAAAAAATGAGAACGATGTTCCTTATTTAGAACAATTAATACAAAAGACACGTTTGACAGAATGATCACTACAAACGAACGAAGAACAACTGAAACATTGAATTGATGTTTTCTTGTCCGTAGAACGTTCACAAATGGAGCACCTTTTTCGTTTTGGTTGAGTGGGATTTTCATTCGCTTCTGCCGGATCGTTCTTCGACACAGGATAACCGACGATTGCTAAAGCATTTAGAATATCTGTGTTCAAAAATTTCGAGTTCTTCGAACGAAAATCCAACAGATGCGATACCAGTGCTAATCCTAATTCTTCCAAAAATAATCGACGTTTATGATTTGTATTCTGATTCCATTGAGGATTTTTCACTTTCCAGACAATCAGAGCATTTATGGCAGCAATGTCTATCATCCCATAGAAAATACAAACTGGCCATCGCTTTGTACCTCGTTTTACCTGAAAAGTAAAATAAGCTATAGAAATACTGAAATATTTTTTACCGTGTATTTATGACACATTTGATCAACAGTATCGACAGCCCCCTTTGTTTTGTTATAATCCAATATAATGATCGGTTTTCCAGTTTTATTGTCCACTTGATTGTCGTGATGTTTTGAGGAGAGCAATAAAACAGCTTTATTCTGTTTTGGGACAAATGAAACTAAGGTTAAACCATCTTGGAAACCAAAGAGCGAAGAACCCACTTCACGATTTTCGTTGGATTGAAACTCGATAGGTATTTCTGACTTGTTTTTTCGCAGTGTTCCTATAAGAGTCAGATTCTTTGTTTGAAGCGTTTGGGCTAATGGAACACTTGTGAAGAAATTATCTATTGTAACGTTTCTTTGGAAGCCGTAAAGTGGTTTGAGTAATTCTAGAACGACTTTGGCACCTATCTGTGTTTGTCTTTGCTCATTCGGTTGTCGTCCAACGTAAGGAAATGCATTGAATACATAATGTGAGTCCACATCAACGCATAGCCAAAATTTTAATCCGTATTTGTCAGGCTTTTTTGGCATATATTGACGGAAGGAACATTTTCCTCTAAATCCTAGTAGTTGTTCATCAATAGTAACATTTGATCCCGGTGTGTAACATGTTTGTAAGCAATTTTGGAAATATGACCAGATTTCACGAATTGCTGCAAATTTATCTGTTCGTTTTCTTTCTTCCCTTGTTCTTTTGTCGTCAAATCTCAAACAAGAAATAATATCCTGAAAACGAGTTCTTGACATAGTGGCTTTGAATATTGGCGGTTCTAATGGACTTCTTCTCCATAAGCATTTCAGATCGATCTTCGATTTCCCCAATAAACCAGCAAGCAATAAAAGTCCAATAAATGCTTTCAATTCTATGAGTGTTATTTCTTCAATTTTTTTCGTGGAGGTATTCTTGTGAGTATACTCCAAGTTTGAATAATCCAAGATTTTTTCCAGAAGTTTGTTTGGCATAAAACACATGAATGCATCTTCGACAGATGAAATATTTTCACTGGTATTTGTAAGACCAGCTTTTTGAATAACATCATTCGAAAAATCATTTTTCGTTGAATGATGAGGAGTTGAGGACCAAATCATTCCAGAACGGGAAGTATACGAACTTTTCCATGTGGAGTCATCGTCTAATTTTAGGTTTTCTAAATCAATTTCATCATCATCGTCGGATGTTTGGCTTTCGCCATCTCCCGTTTCCGAACCGCTGTTTGCATCATCGAAATAATCACTGTCGCTTCCGGTTTCACTTGAACTGTCCATAATCTTTATGAAAAATATTTCAATGGATTGAAAATGCACACCCCTTTAGATCAGAGAATGACTCATTTTATTAGACATTAGAATTTTCATTGTTTCTCCGTTTTGTAAAAAACATATTACTGATACAATGTTTTACTAAGGGGGCGCACTAATATGGAGAAAGAATGTATTTCGTTCTAGATTCATTATCATATATCTCTTCGTAAAGGTTACTAGCTGCTGCTGAAAACTGCGAAACAACAAAACATGTTTAGCATTTTTCGGAGATTTCGAGCGTGGGGTCAAAAATGACCCCGGCTGGTACTCCAAGGGTTAAAGGAGAAAATGTGCCCAGACTAGTACGTGCATCTTGTCATGTTAAGTGATACAACAGAACAAAATAAAATTTAATCCTTTACTATCTTGTAGAGCAGAATTAGATATCAAAAGCGTTCTATTCTTGACTCAGCTTGAATAGACACTTACTCCTCGTCCAACTTGTCGACCTTTTCGAGCTGTTCGATATATATCATCACAATCAGTTTCAGTACATAATGGTGTTGTATTATAATCTTCATGACTACTTGTTGAATCAATAGTTTCACTTCCTTGAAACCAAAAGATTTAATAAATGAAAAATCGAATGAAATTATTTGATTTTTACCTCGACTATTTAAACTATCATTAACAACACGAAAAGCTGGTCGAATAGAAAGACCTGTATCTGAGTTATTGTATGTATGTGTAATACTAGCAGAAGGTTCAAATGGTAATGTTTTATTATTAGTTGATGTACTTGTTATTGTTGATGGTATTGGTGGTTTGACTAGTACGATGTCTTGTTCATTTGATTGTGATGAACGAAGTGATGTATCTTTACGTATTGAGTCTTTCACTGTTTCATATACAGTACGAATACCAGAATTAATAAGTGAAGGTTCGTTCGGTTTCGGTGGTTGAAAAGAATTTTGAGATATTGGTTCAACAGGATTTTCAATAGTTTGAGTTAAAACAGGACTGATTTCAACTGCTTGTAAGGACTCCATACTATTCCGTCTCTGTGTAACAAAGAAAAAAAAAAGAATTTAAAAACTCTTTGAACTTTTACAACGCTCTAAAAAAATTTTTAAGATTCAAATGAAATGTTCAGCAAAATAAGCTCTGTTATTTCATATAAAAGAAACATATCTCAATCAGAAATTTTCTATATGAAGCAAATCATAAGTTAGCGACGTAACTTTACAAAAGTAGAACATGTGTATCATGGGTTAATAAAATTTTCTCGAGTTAATTGTATATGTTACATGTATGTTAAATTACTGTAGATATTATAAGAAAAAATCAGAGCTAGAGACCTTTGTTCAGAGAACTAATCAGTAAAAGAATTATCATTAACGACATGACACAAATGAAAAGTTCAAAACCGATTCTAAATAGCACAGAGTCTTCTTTGAAATTTTTAGATGATGATAAGACAAAAATTTGTGTTTCGAAATTTGATAGGATCTATAGAAAATAAGTTTATAGGAGGAAGTTTTTTTGTTTTACTTTTCACATATGGTTCGAGAGATATTCGCTAATTAAGTTTTAATTACTGGTTAACTGAAAGAGATAACTGTTAATGCTAATGAAATCTATTTAGAAAAATAACCCTTATATTGAAAGAAGATCTAATCAAAATCATACCATAATATCACCAACACTTGTCATAACTGTTGTTTGTGATACATCTAGATGATTTGTAGGTGAAGCACACGATGGTATATCTTCATCATCAACTGTAGGTACTTGAAATAATTCGGAAAGTACAGATACTTCTTCATTTATTACTTTTGGTTTAATTGTCATGACCCAATCAGTTCCACCGATAACAATTGTATTTTCATTTGTTTTAACTTCTTCATTTGTTTTAACTTCTTCATTTATTTCTGTATTTGTACTTTGACATATCATTTCAGTTTTTTCAATAAGTTTTACTGTTATTTTAGGTTTATTTGTAATAATTAGCTTTTTTGGTTTAGGACTTTTAATAAATTTTCGTCCCTGTTTTTTCATTTTAGCAGTTGATAGTTTTGTTTGATGTATTGGTTCAGGTTTTACTATAGGTTTTTGTGTTTCAATGATCGATTCTTCAAATAAATCGGTTATTAATGGTTGACCTTTTAAACTTCCTCGTCGTTGACAATTAAGTATTGCAGATGTGATAGTTCTTGTTGTTGTTTGTGGATAATCAGCATCAACTATTTTTTCCCCTTCTAATGACAATGGTTTAGGTACGGGATTTGAACATTGACGAGAATAATTTGAATTAGAATGAGGTGATAAATGACGTTTTGGTTCCGTAGGTACATCTAAATTTAATTGTTCAGTTTGTTGAGAAACAGGTTCGACATTTATAATTGTCAAAGGTAATTCTTCTGTTTTGACAGTATTTGTTATTTGAGTTGTTTCGATAGATGCAGCCGTAGAAGAAGAAGGAATGACGTCACTAATATTAAAAAAGAAATACGAAATTTAAAGAAAAACAAAAAACGAAAAAAATTTTTTATTCTACTTGATTGGTTGAATAATTTCTTCATCGGGTATTGTTGGATTAACTTTAACTTTTGGTATAGTAGTTTTAGTTAAAACTTTTGTTTTATTATTGACTGTTGATGATTTTTTATTTGTTGTATTTGTTGTAATATTAGATTTAGATTGTGGTTGAAAAATATCTAAAGAAAATTTCCCTAAACGTTGTTGATTTGCATTCGTTGAAATATTATTCGTTGTTGTTGGAATTTTATTTCGAATAGGAACAACTGGAGCTGCCCGTTCAATACTATGTACACGACGATTATCAACGGTAGGTTTTTGTAATCGTGGTGCAACGATAGGTTTAACTATTGGTGCTTTCTGTATAACTGTAGGAGAATGCATAGTTTTATCTGTTGGTAAATTATTCGATTCGCGATGAAGACTTTTCGAAAGTAAACGTCTTGTAAATTCTTTTTTTTCTTCTTGTATAGCAGATGTTTCTTCAGTAGTAACTAATGGAGGCGATATGCTTGGTGGTAGAACTGTTGATGGAATTGTTAATGATTTATTTAAATTGGAGGGTAAATCAGTTGATATTGGTGGTAAAGGAGTAAATGATTGACGAAGACTTCCAGTAAGACTTTCACATACTGTGTCAAACGTATCTTCACGTGGAAGTTGTGTTGAATCAACAGGAATACCAGTGTGACGTTGAAAAAGGATTGACGACCGACGACTACAAGCACTGTTAACAGACCGACGACAATAACGCGACGACTAAAAAAAGCAAAGTAAAAATAAAAGAACGGAACAAAAAGAAGAAAAAGAAAATTCTTATGTTTTTAAAAGAGAAACTGAAGAAGAAAAAAGAAATTAATAGAACGATAGAGCCATAATTTTGTTATTATTTAAATTCATAAATTATACAAACTGATATTCGATCACTGATCGGTGATGGAAATGCATGAATTGGATCATGTTGACTATCAGAACATAAAGGAGCATCTTAACAAGCAAGAAAAGATGCAAAACTAAAAGTTGTTTTAGAATTAAATCTTTACCAAATACTGGATTTAGTTTTCGACTTTGATCTAGTATATGTTCATAACTGTAAAGAAAAATATTCAATAAAACGTAAAATGTCAATTGTTATCTTTTCTAACCTTGATTTTAAATATTTTGGAACTGTCCAAGCTAAAAAGAAAACAATATACAAGTTTCATCAACATTACAGACATTTAACAATGTACTTTTAGGTGGATAAGTATCAAGTAACATAAGTACATCTGCTTGTGACCTAAGAACAGAAAAAAAAATTTGAAAGAATAAAATTTATTATTGAAGCTACTTTTGAAATATAACTCGGGAAGTTTCGAGGTCATCTAAAATAAACAAAAAAAAATTATAATTAATTATAGAAATATATATATGATTTAATCATACCATCATCAAAAGGAAGTGTACGATCATCAGTTGTTACGTCTTCTGTTAATGGTTTTGATTTTTTTAAAATTGAAATTGGATGATCTCCATTAGTTACTGTTGTTGTTGATGGTGATGGTAGTGATTGTTCATCAGTAATTGGAATTGGTGGTAAACGTTGTCCATTAATTTTACCTTTAAATGATGTTGATAAATTTTTCGTTGTCATTGATATTGACTCTATATTGTATATTATAGTTCAAAAGAAAATAGAAGACTTCACCACATTTGTCCCGAACACACCTTATCAAAAGCGAACAAAGTAAACAGAAAGCACAATAGAAAAAAAAGTTGACGGGATGTCGTGTATATGTGTGTTTGTATGTAACGACATAGTTTCAAAATTTTCTTTCGCTCTTGCTCTCTGTCTCTCTCTCTCGTCTTTCAATCGCTTTCTTCATACATTTCTTTTTTTTTTGCTGCTTTCATGATTGCTTTATATAAAGGAATAATCACATTTGTTTGACTCTTTTTTTTTGAACCAATCTACAAGAATATTTTCTTCTCAATATTATTCTTTTTAGTTAAGTTCATTGTGTATATATTATTTAAACGAATTTTCATTATTGAATTTTAATAATAAAAATAGATTTCTTGCTGTTGTGTTTCAATAATAAATTTTAAATTAAGGTATTATAACCAGGCATACTTTATTATATGAACAAGACATATTTTCTGTCACAAACATATCGATCATAATATATAGAGAAATGATTCCAGTTGTACGAGAATTTTCCATTTAAGACATTTTTTTTTCATTTTTGGAAGCGAATACGTTTGAGTTAGTGTGCTTGACATAAGTCGTTATTTTGAGAATCTATTCGAACCGCTTTCGATTGATCCTTTTTTTTTTGCAATTCTGCATCTTCATGTATACGTCATAAAAATGGAATTAGTAATGGTGCATATTTTTAAAGAATGAATATAATTATGAAGCCATTAAAAATATAAGTTATCAGCTTTTTAATTGACACATGCAATATTTCTATTTCTATCTGAGTTTGAATTTTCACTGTAAAGTACGAGAGTTTTTCAAAACACTGCTTGCATTCGCCAACTTGATTCATAAGAACATTTTTATTATTGATCGGCTTAGTAAGGTTAAATGATCTTGAATGCTTCACAGTGATTGCTCTGACTGGTTCAATACAAATTATATTATAAGTAATATTTAAATATTCATCAATGAAGAATAAAATCATGAATGTATTCGATCATAAACAGTGAAATATTATCTTTCAACCGACGAACTTGTTAAATCAAAATGGTCTTCATCCTCTTTCTTCTCGAGACATAACTAATAATTTGAACCAATAACTGTCGGTTGTTTCTATTATTATACAAGATTTTGAGAATTGTAGTATGAAATAAATAATAGTGCAGCACCGTTCATTGGACAAGAAACTTGTTCAATAGTCTTGACACTACTAAATATTGTGAATGTCTAGTTAATATGATTTCAATGATTAGTATCGATTTATTTATTCAATATAACTTCATCAGCAATTTGTTAAATTTTAAAGTTTAATCAACTGATTTGAACATATAATTATGGTAACGAAGGCTATATTGGGTGCATAATGCGATATGTTATTTTCATGAGTATAAATAATGCTTGTATAACAAGTAACGTTCAATGAGATTCGATTCACTTGGTCTTAGGTCTTACTGTAACACAAATTCATGGTGAATTAGCTATTCCTTATAGGGGCAAGGTTATTCTTCATTTCGTACCGTTATTGATTAGATTCATGGATTTTCAAACGGACAAGAGTCATTGGGAGATGATCCACCAAGTGATCATCTAATAACCGTTATCACTAAACAAAATGTTTATGCTAATAAACATCCAGGGAATGATGGTCCACATGTTAGTGTTGATTGTACTGTTATCATTTTAGATATAGTTGTCTCATAAACGATTGTAATGAATGATTGAAAATATTCGTCAGAAATTTACATAAGAAAGAAATATGATCAATAACAAGTAGCATTCATTCGCGTGATAAAAATTCCATATCACATATGCCAGATATTGTTCTTAATCTTAAGTATCTTCAATAGAAAAAAAACCTAAGCTATGATTTATTTACCATGTACGCCTGACTTTGCTTTTTCAGAGCTCGAATTGTTCAGTTATCTGAAACGTAGCCTTGATAGATATCCACATCCTACAAATTTGGGGAAAAAAAGAATGAAGAAGCTCAATTCAATAGCTATTCATGAATACCAAAAGATCTCTCAGAAATGGGTTGATAGGATGAACCTTTGTATTGAACATCGTAGAGACTACTAAGAGCGTTTACTGTAAACAGATTGGCAAAATGTTTTTTTCATGAATAAATATTCGCAAATGCACGAATTTTTGACTACCCTATGTAATCAATATTTGAATATTGTAAATAAAAAACTTGAAATGAAAAATATTTTGACTTGCCATCATTCATATACTTGTATATCTTCTTCATGTTTGGAATAAAACATATACTACATATACACATATTGATTTATAAAGATTACATAGAAATCAATACTATGATTTACAAATAGTTAGTTAGCGTTTATCCGTCATCTAAAACAATTAATATCACATTATTTTAATAATGTGATTTTAGTCCATCATAATCATACGTTCAGACTCACTCTCTAACTCATAATAAATATTACATTACATTCTTATATATACAGTATTGAACAGTCGATCAAAACGTTCAATAATTCAATAACAATGATTATCATTTCTGAAGGCATTCCAGATCGAACAAGAACGATCATAAATGGTTGCATATCAACGTATGACGTGGCTCAGTATGATCACCATATTTCTCTGCACATCAAAAGACGATCGTGAAAGTTGAAATACAGAGTGTGCAAGAATTTCGTATTCTTCGTCATGATACACTACTCCTCGGTAATATGCATCCTAATGCGTGTGTGCCTTTGTTTTTGTTCCTTTATGCAGTTATTTGTACCACTGTTATTATATAATAATCTGTACCATACATACCATACAGTGACTATGCTAGAGACATACAGAACGACAGATACAAGTGAGTTTCTGTTTCTAAATCCTATCCTGTCATTATTAAACAGACTCAAATTATTATAAGTAATTTTCAAAATACACTAATTCATTCACCTTAATCGGAAAACTCACAGTTATTTTCACATATAAATATTAAACAAAAACTAATTGTTTGTTATAGGAACCTCATTGTTGGTCGTATTCTAATAGCTAAAATACACTGAAATTTGATCAATGCATACCTAATGTAGTTCAAGCACACTTGTTTTTCGTATGCCTAGCTTGCGTATGATAGACTATCAACTTTTTCAGTCTGTCTATTCCTATTATCCGTTCTTGTTGACCAGTCTCTCGTAACCTGTGTATTTTTTGTGAACTTCACATTATGTTTAACAGTTCTAAGATAAAGGTTTGTAGCAATCAAAGTCAATAATATGTACATTCCTTTTTTACAGTTCTTTAGCAACGAAAAAAGGTACTGAACAGCATTAACAACAAGACTTGAACTATTCTAGAACGTTCCAAAGACTTTCTCGAAATTGTAACAGTTGAAATACGTTTGTGATTGTTCTCAATAATGCAACTTTTGATTTTTATGAAGATCAAATTTATATTCACAATACCAAAAACGATTAAGGAAAGCAATGCATTGGTTTGCCACAGTCGTCATATGATCAACGTAAAGAGTATGAATTGATCAATATCAACATCTGTAAGTTCATTGAAATATATAATAGTGTATTGACACTTGCTGTAGATACACTGCATATAAGTAACAGACGTATTTGCCAGTTAAACGAATGGTTCGCATGATAATAATGTTAAATAAAGAAAAATGAAAAACAACGAGTGAATAGTAACAAAGTATTGAAAATCATTGAAAAAAGATGAAATCTCTGTTTTGTATGCAGAAACTAATAAGGCAGATCGTTTTCCGAACGATCGATTATCCTTGGAGAATAACTATGGTCTATTAGCGATATGTATTCTGTTATGTATTTTGTATCAGTATAATAAGACTGAAAAACACATACGAGTTCCACATTTTAGGTCCAATGGGACTGCACTGATAAGCTTTTTGTGAAACATACTAATATCATCATGATAATTGAACAGAAACAGACAGCTGTTTGATAATGCAAGGCAAGAAAATCATGCACACAGACACTGTAGTACTGTATGAAACATTTATTAATTAGACACAGTATGCATCTGTCAACAAATAAATAATAAAGAAGATATGAAAATGCAACAAAAAACTTGGTTCTTTAGTAATAACTTTTTGAATAAATTCGATGAACTAGTTTACGAGCACGTACCATGTAATGATATACCGGTTAGAAATTGTAAACAATATCTTAGTAAAACAAATAATTATATCATGCACATTTATTGTTAAAGTCTATAATTAGTCATGATTATATCCAGTCAAAACAGTACAAACAAGAATCATGATTTATATTCTATTAGTAATGGTTATGAATCATAGTACATTTTAATACCTATATTGTTTATTAAAAAAAGACGAAGTTGTCCATTGAGAATATACAAAAGACATGATAGGTAGGCGTTCCGTCAATTTTAACAGGCTCTACTGATTTGTGATTGACACCAAAACTAGGACCTGTGTTTGTCTATCTTATGTAAGCTCAATGACATATTGGAATCTTTCTGATGCTTAACACTATGTTAATTCAATTATATCACTTCATCTATTCATTGAGCTTTTAAATTAATACTGAACAAACTTCATTCTTCTTAAAAACAAATCTACCCTTTTCTATAAATCTTTCATAACGTAGAAATTCAGTCATTCTATTTCGTTTATAATAACATCAATATTAGTATTTAAAGTAAAGTGAAATAGTCATAATAAACATCAATATTTTTTACTTAGAAAAAAAAAAGATATATAATGAGAAGAAAAGCGAATGCAGAAATAAAAAAAGAACATTTATACACAGAAGAGCCAAGCATTGACAATTGATTAAAATAAAGCATGCATAGAAATAAAGTGTCTGAATTGAAATTAAAGTAGTCCAGCATCCATTAATGAATTCATATCTTGAACAATGTCCTTAATAATTGCACGATTTGCTGTTGAATTTGTATTAAAAACATATTCAATAAAATGTAAATTCGATAAATAATTAAATATATAATCAATACGTATATGAGATTTTTGTGTTAAATGTGTTGATATAATTTTATGTGTTAAATCTTGACATTCTTTACACGCACGTGTTAAAAAAACACGATCAAATGTATATTCAACTTCATAAAATGTAACAATTGCTTTTGATAATGAATGAAAACGATTACGAAAATCTTCAATTAATTTTAATTCATATTCAGTAAATAAATTATTTTTATATAATATACCCAATTTAACAATTGTTTTTATTATTGATTTAAGTAATTTGTCAGCTTCTTTTTTACTATCTGAATAAGCACGTATTAATTTATGCAAATTGTCTAATACACGACTACTAGTGTCATCAATGAAAACTTTAACAACTGATTTTGATGATAGTTTACTAAAAAGAAAAAAAATATAATTCTTTATTATTAGTATTAACGGGTGATGCAAAAGTTTTTGCAAAACAAAAATGTCGTACCGTCTTTCATCGGCTAAAACATTTTCACGAAGAATCCAAAGTACCTATTTAGAATCTACGTCTAAAGGGCTTTTTACCTGTATGGTCGAAATAATTCTATAGTGTCTCTCCTTTGGATACTAAACATGTCTTCGAACAGCACTAAAATTTGATCTGGAAAGGAAAAACGGCTTTGAATGATCGTCGAAAAAACTATCGACCTCTCGCTATTTTAAGAGTTTCCTCTACCTTTTTTTGTAGAACATTAAACGGCGAATCTAACGAGAAAACGAGCACCAAAATACGATTGAACACATAGGAGAAAACCGAAAAATATTGAGAAATCAGCTCCTTCTATGGCACCTGTTTTGAGCTGATTTTATTGACTAAATTTTAGTGTCGTTCGAAAATGTGTTTCACATTCAAAGGAGAGATACTGTAGAATTATTTCGACCAGAGAGGTAAAAAGTCCTTTCAATGTAGATTCCAAATAGGTACTTTCGATTTTTCTGAAAAATGTTTTAGTCGACGAAAGACGGTGTGACATTTTTGCAAAAACTTTTGCATCACCTGTTATTATTCTTGTTTTTTTCTCATATGAAATTTCTTACCTTAGTAATTTCTTTTGTGCACGAACACCAAGACTTTGAGCTGAAGCACTGACTGTAGTTTCTTCTTCATCAGCTAGAAGAGAGAAAAAAACAATGATTTAATATTTGTGAATTAGCTTTGTATTAATTTCAGCAATCTATATTATCAATTCATCTATTATTTCATTAAATTTCTACGTGAAAACAGTGATTGCTTTAGATTAACAATAAAAATAAAATTTGTTCAATGTACTTTTTTTTTAAATTCAGTTTGACATTACCATTTGTACAGGAAGTAAAATGTGCTCATTTCATTAAAAAAAACAATCATAGACATTCTTTGTTCCGGACTTTATTTTTTTCCGAGAACAACAAAAGAATTCATATATGTTATCTATAGGATTGTATGCGATCAGAAAAGATAAAAATTTCTTAATTAAAAAAAAAAATTAAACTTATATTCCTGCATATAGAAAATTTCATTTAGTTATTGTATATTGTCAACATCAACAGATGAAACATGTCAATATGCATCCTACGTTAGTAATACAGTAGTCATCGATTGATTCTTTTCAATCATAGAAATAAATACTAAATATGAAATTTTGTTTTTCAATAAAAACTAATAATAAATTACTCACACTCAACAAATGATTCCAATTGACTGGCAAATTCCTCTGAAATGGAAGTTGATGTTGTTGGTTTTGCTACTGACTTCTTATTTGTTTTAGATGTCATTATATAAATTGCGATATGATTTTCTTGTTCTTTTTTTTTTAAGCACTTTACAAAGTATAATTCTACTATTTTAAGTGTCACAATAAGTTGTTGATAGGATCATCATATCTTGTAAATGTATAATGTGTTCAGTTTAGCTGCTGTTACTTGTTTTTGTCGAGCTTTTCTTTTTTCTAATTTTTTTTTTCTCTGTTTTTTTTTTCTCGGTCGTCGGGTTCGAGGAAAAAGATAGGTAGAAATCAAGTGAAGAAAGAGAGAGAAAAGAGGAACAAAAACAATCTAGATAGTAAATAATGTTTCAAAAAAGCAGAACTTGCAAATTTGATTTATTAGTACTCAACCAAAGCATATGGGCAGATGTTCGTTTTTTTTTTCTTCTTCAAACTCAGTCAAGACTACAGACAATGATTACTATACGTCGAAAGAAAAAAAAAAAGAAGGAATAATATTCATATTGATTTTATTTTTTTATTTTTTTTTTTCGTCAAAAGAACAAAAAAGTTCTATATAAAAAGAAGAGTCTTGTCATGTTACACGGGAACATGAGCATGTGTGTCAAGCGATAACATATGCGTCAAAGCATACTAGGAAAAGCCAGGTGTAATCTCATTTCTTGGTTTTTTTTTATCTTATTGTAATAATGAAATAAGCATACTCATCATTTTGAAACTGCCATACTACTTACATTTCTTTTCCGGTTCAATGATTGGTATGCTTGCTTCATTAAAGAAGTTTTTTGACAGATGACAACAGAAAATAAAAAAAGCATTCGTGTGTCTATAACATCAAATGTCTGAAGAAATTTATCCATGTAAATAGTGAAAGACGTTAATCATAACTATAACCTTTAAAAAATATTTCAACTGAAAATAAATAATTTTTCTATTCATTTCATATGAGAATAATCTTCATAACAAGATTATATGTTGTTTTTCTTTTATATTAGTCACAAAATCAAACTTTTTTTCTTCTTAAACACAAATGAAACATATTTGTACATACCACTATCGTCTTCATCATCACTTTCTTTGAGATATTTTTCAACTATTTTATTTGTTCCATCATTTGTATTAATGGTTGTTGAAATATTTTTATCTGTCATGATTTTGTTCTAAATGAAATCAAGTATTAAAGAATAGACATCTTTTTTTATTTTTTTCTATATGAATAATTTGAATGAAAAGAATTTATGATTATCTTTTAAAATTGTTATACTGTAAGAGAAAAAAAAAATATTTATGACGTAGATGATAGTAAAGCATGTTTTGAAATTTTCTCATTTCAATAATAAAGACATTTTACTTTTTTTTTAAAGCTCTTGTGAATATTTTTAGTATTTCAACGAAACTTTTTGCAACAGATAATCTAAAGCTTACGTGGAATAAGCTTTAGATCATCTATTTCAAGTCACTATGGTCATTTGATATTGAAGGAAATGTATTTCCGACATTGATTATTAAGAAAAGGAAATGCTATTTAAGACTTTTACAAAAGAAATAGATAGTTCTTCATTAGAGATTCATGAGTTTGTTGTTTTCTTAAATGAATCAAACTAAAAAAAGATTTAAAATTTCTATCAATTAGAGTGAAAGACGCTAATCAGATATCTAAAGAGTTTTTGAATCCACAAGGACAACGAAATTTTTAATCATTAATTTATATTTCATCAAAATTTGATGCTTTAAATTAGCTTATTATCTTCATTAATGTTACAAAAAAAAAAGAAATTTTGTTTAGGTCAAAATTTGTTAAATTTTTTCTGAATTTTCTCGTACTTTTATCAGCTCGTCATGATGAGAATGTTGGAAAATGTAACTTACTCTGAATGCAGATTTTTTTTGAATGTAATGAAAGTGAAAGATCAATGATCTCTAATGAAGATCACGTAATGGAGAAGAGAAAAAACAGGTATCTTGATCGCTGATTTATCTCAATCTTCACTTAACCTAATTGCTGTTGATGTGTGCGTGATAGTATGATGTGTTAAGCGTTTGCCGATCGAATCGCTTTCTTCTTTATCTCTATTTTACACACGATCTATTCGTTTGGTTATACTATATATGAAAAAAAAGAAAGAGAGAAAAAGCAGAACAAGAGTTAGATCATCGTAATTGTTATTATTATGTTGTGTCGAACTGAATGAGTCAATACGATAGGCATGCGTTATTCTTTAGCTATTAGTAGTTACTTGTATTATCTCGTGTATTACCCTAGACAAATATATGGATACTAACTGACACATAAGTGTCATATGTTTTTCAACTAGTTTTGTTTTGTTTTCTTTAGAATTAATTGTTTTATAATAAAATATTGCGTAAATAATGTCAATGAGTCGTGTATAATAAATAATGAGAGATATTAGATTTAAAATAATAAATTTGGTAGGAAATAAATGCATTTATGAATGAAATGAATCTTATTTATGAATATGTGTACTGAATGAGATTATTAGTTTAATAGAAAAGAAAATAAAAAGATTTAATGGAAATAGAAGTTGAAAGAAAAATATGTTCTTGAATTATATGATTTATTATAATATCATTGATCTATTTGTCTTTAGTATTTATTCGTTTATCGATGTAATAATATGCTGATTCTTTCATTCGTATGATGCAAACGTTTATCATATCATCATGAATGATTTCAATAATCTATTGCATAGATTATATAATAATTTTTTAAAACTAGGATATATATTAATCTATATATATTATCGAATAAATATTTCTTTCATTAATAACAAAAACAAAATAAGGCGTAAATTTATGGATGATATTATTTTTCTTAGTTGTTTGCTTTATATTATTATATAAACAGTGAAATATACATTTCTCAATAGAGAAAAGATAAACAAGATCAATTTACAGTCGAAAATTGGATAAAAGTATATATAGACGATTTCAATGTTATATACGAAATATAATTCAACATTTCCTAATATGAATTAGTTGAAATTGAATTTTTAAACGTTTGACTTTATACCATTATATCATTTAAAATAGATGTCACAGGACGTTACAGAAAGAAAGAGATACAAAAATAAAGTAACATTTTAAAAAATGTTTGAGAACCTTAGATAGTATATTAGACATCATCATTTTCTCTCTATTCACACTATGCAAACTTTATTCTTCTGAATATTTTTTATGAACAAAAAACTACTTTATCTTGTTCAATAACCCATGGACTGTAGAAAGATAAAGTTGGCAAAGAAATAAATATATGAAGTCTTTGTTCGTTTCATTTCTGTGCAAATTTATAAGCACTTCGAAATCGAAAATTGAAATATAGTTATTATGTAAGAAAGAATATTGATCATTATTTTAATCAATAGGAAATTCTTAATTATACTAAAACTATGTGGTACTAAGAAGAATTTTACTGTTAGTAATCATTTGAAATTTTTCTTTTCGTCGATGCTGATTAACAAATAAGGTATGAAGTGAATAAAGAATTTTGTTTTGAGATGTATTCAAAAGTATTTCCATGAAATCTTTAACGAAAAAAAAAAATATGAGTAAAATCTCTCATTTGACTAAAAATATAAATTATTCAATAGAATTTACTTTGCTTATAAATAAAAACAAATGATTGTGATTCATTTTCTATAAATCGAAAATTTTTCAAATTCTTTTAAATCTTCAATAAATGAATAGTTACACTATAGAGACAAAGTAAAATAAATAATATTTATCTTATACTGATATAATTATCTTGTTTTTTTTGTCTATCATATTACTGTTAACAGTTTCAACAGAAGACAAAAACAAGGATTTGAAATAGATTGTTCGAACGATTAAAACAAGATTATAATTTGAAAAGAAGAACAAGTCAATCAAGTTGATATTCGTTTCTATCATGTTACAAGATTAAACATTTTAAAAAATTTCATTTCAATAAGACATGAATTCAATGTCTAAATCCATCATTATTGATAGTACAAATAGAACAAGAATCCCTTCACGATCTGAATACTGAAAATTTTTATTATTATTTATTGAGAATCGGCTATTAGCGAATGAAATCTTATCGAATGAATTATTCCAACCACATCGATCTACATATGCATGTTGTAAACATTGATCCAAAGATGAAGTTGGAGGAAAACGATATTATAAAATAAACAATGTATTTACGTGAAATGAATATTCATCTGTACTATCTCTAATCCTACTTCTACAGACCGAATGAACTCAATCAATCACTTATGTATTCACAGTTACTGAAAGATATCTTCTTGAATGACGATATGATGATAAAACGAAAAAATTACTTGTTGATGTCTGTCGCCAACATGATACTAATAATAATCACAAACTGTAGATTATTGATGCATGTGAACGAAAAATATGATTGTTCATTTGGGAGTACATTCGAGAGTATTTTGCATATTCAATGTTCAGTACAACTTTGACAACATCAGATGTATGAATTATTATTAAAACGAACTATTTCATTTGTTATTTCAAAAGCTAAACTCAACTATTATACTGGCAATCAGTCAATCAACACTCATTTGATACTTATTGAGGGAACGACATGTTGAATGATGAATTTGAGAAGATGATGAAAAGCAAAGAATTTCTTCTATCATTCAATAATTTTCTGTCCATATATGTAATGAATGATCTATTGATGAAATTTGATCATGGAATTCAAAACAATCTCAGCTTGACAGTTATTATTTTTCCAACAGAAATCAATTAATTGATTGCATCAATAATATATGTATCCTTGAATAAGATTAGTTAAAATTTATATATAGAAATGGAAATTTTCTGATCTATATATAATGTCTTTCTGATCAAAGCAATACAACAGATGGAAGATCGATAGCAAGAGATGCATCTAATGTTGGCTAATGACAATGATTAATAGTTGATGCAGCTCATTAAACATACAAAAAACCACTCAAGAACCATCAGAACTAAATTAATTGTTAGATAGATAAACTAGCTTTCTTTCACTATGACATCGAATATATCAACTACGAGACTGATAATCTGATAAGCACACGGTTGCATTAAAAAAGCTATCTCAATGTTGAATCGATTTGTCTATCTTCAAATAATCGCTTATTCTCACTCATTTATACTAGTATAGGTACGATTTATAGCAAACAAGATGATCTAGATTTTGTGTTAAAATATCCCAAGAAAAAAAAAAGCTTTGAACATTAGAAATTTCAATTCATCACACAAAATTTATTTATATGGTAGTCGATCAAGACAACTATACTTAAGTTCTCAAAATCTATGAACAAGTACTAAAAATCAAGTTTACTCACTTTTAATCTTGTCATACAGTTTTAGCTTCTATCTACAGGAGTATTAAAGGAGTTTATTGTTCAATAGAAAGTCACTCTATTGTACTGTCAGACTGAAAAATATTTGATGTACAACAAAGAACTCTTACATTGAATTGTAATGTTAAGCAAATTGTTAAAATAGTTCGATGTGCTTTGGAAATTAAGCATCTCAAAGTAAAAAAAGAATAAGAACGATGTTGATTCTTTTCAAAGATTAATATGATTATTTTTCATGTTGTGGGAAATGAGCTAATTGATATCATTCTTTGAAAATCATAAAAATAGTACATATAATTAGTTAGGTTTTTATTGAATTTGGTTGGATGAACGAAATTAATTTTACTAGAAATGCATTCTTTTATTTAATCCGACCTAATACAATCCAAAACTATACACATCATATATATATATTACTTGTATATTAAAATAACTCTCTTGCAATTACGCCTCGAAGCATCAGATTAAATTTTCATGAATTTTTTTCATATGTATTTCATGAATAACCTTTCGTTATGGCATCGTTGCGAAATGGAGTTGAGAAGCACTTCTAGTTGAGCTGCAAGTTATATTCATGTCCACAAACATATTCAAATATATCTTTACTTAAGTCTAAGATTTCCATACATGTGCCTATTATCTTCAATATTTCTATATCTCTCATCTACTTATAAGTCTAGAACTCAAGCAACTGGGCACTTCTAATACCAGTAAGAAGTTGCTGATTTTACTACAAGATCATAATGAATAGTCAATCTACTGCTATATAATCAATCAAAAGTCAAAGCAAACTTTCT